TGTGCCGACTGAGTGAAATCCATCGATCTCCGTTTATTTAACTAGGATGAACAGTTGAATACTTTTTTCCCACCACAGCAACCTAATTAAGAAGTCCAGCGGAAGACAATTATGAACAATATAGCATCCTCTTCAGAAAGTTTATAAACATTACGAGGCTTCTGCAGATCCGAATCAAGACAGACTAGTACAGAAGATCCTTCCTGTCTACAGCTATCAACACCAACAAAACCTGCTTTAAAAAACACAAACATATGAGTTGGTGCAACATTTAATTTCCCTTTAGGAGTTTTTTTGTTTATTTTTATTTTTTAATTGAATTCCCAGGTGGATTGACAGCCATTTTTCTTCTTTAAACACACAGGATCTAGAGGAGTAAACTGACAAATCTCTACTCCACAACCATTCAAAAATAAAGTTATTAAGTCTTTCTTTTAACCATCAATATTTAGAGAATTAATTTCATTTCTTTTTCTCTTTGTTACCTGAATATTAAACTCTTTTTTTCTTTTTTTCCCCCCAGTTTGCTCGCAGTATTCCCGCGGTGTCTTCGCCATCTTCGGCCTGTACGACAAGCGCTCAGTCCACACGTTGACGTCCTTCTGCAGCGCCCTTCACATTTCCCTCATTACGCCAAGTTTCCCCACTGAGGGCGAGAGCCAGTTCACCCTGCAGCTCCGGCCGTCCATCCGGGGGGCGCTACTTTCCCTACTCGACCACTACGACTGGAATAAGTTTGTCTTCCTGTACGACACAGACCGAGGTGAGTAACGGTCATCTTTCAGCTAATCGGTATGTCTCTGATGACAATCAGCTGTTGGTGTCCATTAGTGGGCTCTGTTTTCTGGTGCAATATCAACACAGAACATATGTCAGAAAATTTGCTGATTTTTGAAAACAGCTCTTTAGTTGGGAATTACAACTAAAACCTTTTTGGTTTCCTCATTACCGTTTCAATAAGGCAGTGTTCAAACTCAGATTTTCATCAGAGGTGGAAAGAGTACAAAAAAATTGTAATTGAGTAAAAGTATCTTTACTTTGCCTAAATTGTACTCAGAGTAAAGTAAAATTACCCATCTCAAAATGTACTCAAGTAAAAGTACAAAATTACTTCATATAAAACTTAATTTGAGTAAAAGTTACTTAGTTACTTTGAGTTATTTAATGAAAAAAAGGATGAGTCATGAATGGAATTGAGCACAAGGTGTTTTAATCGATTTCAAGGCGTATTTCAGTGGACATCCACACTTGCAAAAGATCAGCTGGGCTAAAGAACATACTTCCTCACAGCACAAGGACAGTCACAACCTGTACCATAAAGTGCAAGCAATTTTCAATCCTACTGTCCAACAGACAACAGGATGATAACTAACTTACCGCCACATTTTTACGTAAATTGGATGTTGATGTTTTAAAAGCCGAAAGCTCCGTTTTGCTGGGCAGGCACATGTTACACTGCATTATCACATTGTTCCCTTTTGTGCATTTAAAAAAAAATAATCCGTCCAAATATGGCCAAAGGTTTTTCTGGCTTTCGTCTCCAGAATATGTTTCCTCTTCAGGCCTTTCCTCATCCATACTCCCTAAGTTGTGATTAGCAACTGCCATCTTCCAAAGCGCAGCACTGGATTATGAGACAATACAAAGGGTAAATGCAAGGCAGGGCCACATTAAATTTTTTCACCATCAGTATTTTTTTTTTTTTTACTCAGTAACGTGAGGGGGTTTTAAATGTAGCAAAGTAAAACTATTTAGGTTAAAATTTACTCGAGTAAAAGTAAAAATTACATAATTCAAAAACTACTCAGAAAATTACAACTTACTCATAAAAAGTACTCAATTACAGTAACTTGGGTAAATGTAATTTATTACTTACCACCCCTGATTTTCATCAACTTCATCATATTCATTTTATACTTGAAATATATCTTTTCAATATAAATTGAAATCTCACATCAAAAGCACCTGCTATTTACCAGCTTTTAGGATGTTTCAATTCTTGTTTATTAAATACTGTACTAATAAAAGTATGACACCATATTACCTAAATGTTAGATACATTTTCTATAGAAAGTAAAATTTCAAACTGTGGTCTCTGATGTACCATTTTTAGCGTAAAAATCATAACTATAATTATTATCTATCACTATTGTAAAGTAATAAAGAGAATAATTCTATCCAAACCAGCCTTGCCTTGAAAAGAGAAATAAAAAGAGGGATTCATTTCTCCTTTTCCAGAAGACAATAAGGAGAAAGTAATTCCTCCTTAAACCCACTAACCTGTTGTTCTTTCTTGGTAGCAGCATCTAGCTAACGTTCATGACATTTATGAGGAATCCTTTTAAACCCATACTGCATTCTAGAGTTGATTTTAAATCAAGCACCTCGGAGGGTTTTCTTTCTGAAACAACTTTTTTAAGCTCAGTTCACAGTATCACTGTCAGAGATTGTTGGGACTTTGACTTTAGTTATTTATTGATTTATTTATGAAGCCATTCAGAGGTGCTTTGTGTTATGTTCAAAATTGTAGGTTCATAATAAATAAACTGAGTCTGCACAGAATAGGGATATTTGGCTCCTGCAGGAGGAGAGAGCCACGTTCAGCCACATCTTGCTCTCTGATGGATCTCCTCAGCAGAAGCCTTTTTATTAGCAGATCATAACACATGGGGTGGGTTACAGAACAGTGTTCTTCTGACAAGGCAATTGATCAGGCCATAGGACAAAATGCTCTTTCTGATTGAATCACAGAATAGAGCGGATTATCCTTGCACAAACATCAGCAGTTTTCTACCAAAGTTGCATGACAGTTTGCAGTAAACAAAGTTAAGCATCTCATTTCTTTAATGTTCTGTATGCACATGCATTAATTTTATAATCATCATTGAATAAACCTGACACTTTGGGTCTTTATTTTGCGATCTGGAGGTTAGAAACAGATGGTCAGGCATTTTCTTTGAGGATTCTCTGCTAAAGCCTCTGTCACACCTTGACAATTTAGACCAGCATATGCCTGACGTACGGAAAAACTGGCACAAAAAAAAAAAAAAAAAATGGCAGAAACTTTGACATACATTGGATAAGTTATGGGTCAGTTTTGTATAAGTTTTGAGCACGCTGAAACAGCTGGCATACGTCAACATACGGCAAATACGTTGAGCATGCCAGTGTATGCTCATACATGGGCCATAAATTACAGGTAATGTATCTGATCGTTGACATACGTTAATTGTAAGTTACTCATAATATATATATCTGACATGTCCTCGATGACCGCTGGACTTACAGCTAGTCTATAATGGTGTATTGGCAGCATTTTGGTATAAAAGAGGGTTGACGGGATTAAAGTTCTCCTCCAGACTTCATCCCCATCATAGGGTGAGCGTGAAGATGAGTGTGATGGATCCTCCCTCCGTTCACGCCCACTACCAAAAAACTTCCTTGCAGACATGACCCTGAATCTGCTGCAACTGCACACCTTCTTTCTGTCTTTTTCTTTTTATTGATTTATTTATTAAACAGCAATTAGGTTAATACCACGATCAAAGAAGTCTTTTATGCAGGCCAGGTGCCTCCGGGCGCATTGCTGCCCCCCTCTAGACACATTACACATTACTAGGCATTACACTGTTGTGTGTTATGCATAAGTTAGGCTGTCGTTGGACATAAGTTCTGGACATGTTGTGAATACGCGATGTATACGGCCAAAATTTTAAAAATAAATAGAAAGTTCAGCATATGCCAGCGTTTTAGGAGATTCTGGGACGTCAGGCATATGCTGGCTAAAACGTCAAGGTGTCACAGGGGCTAAAAGAGCAGAATTCACGCTTCCATTAACTCTAGCAAGTCCTCCATATCCTGCAGCAGCAAAGCAGCCCAAACCATCACACTACCTCCACCGGAATCATTGTGTGAATTATTTTCTGGTTCTGAAAAGGTTATGTTTTACACCAAATGGAAGTAGATGCATATTTTACTTTTCTGTCTCACTAGTCTACGGAAAATTTTCACAATTATCTTAGGGATAATTGAGATATGGCTTTATTTTGCAAATGAGAGACATATCTTTGTGTTCTTTTGGATCAACTGTGAGTTTGCCCTTGAAAGTGACCATTTTTGTCTGGTGTCTCTTATGACTCTTGTTGAATGACTGTAGGTGCTCTTCTAGGATGAGGTGCTTAGTAATTGGGTTGAACAGTCACTTCTAGTAAAGTTTTCCAGTCATAGGTTCTCTCCATTTGAGGATAATGGTTCTCATTGCCTGGTCTAGACTCCAAACAAGAAATTCACTCAAACTGAAAAATTTTTTTGTCAGACTGAGATAACATTTGGTCCCGATCTAAAAAAAAAAAGAAAATACTGTTTTGATAGATCTGTTTTTGAGGAGTAGAAATTCCTCAGTTGAGAGTTAGATCAGTTAGAAGTCACATCTTTTATCTTTTGCAAAAGTCCAGCTCTTTGAAAAACTCGTTAGCTCAGCATAGATAACCTAAAACCAATATGATGAAGAAATCAGAACTTCATTTAAGCTTCCCCCTTTATATTCATTGCTTTGAAAATTTCCTCCCACTCTTACTCAGAATATCACTCCTTCAAATCAAAGAATAAAAAGCCAAAAAAACTGCTTTTTGATTAAATGCTTTTGACTTTGGAAAAATGACTCAGCCAGTTTCCTGTGCAGAAGCCTCAGAAATTAGGCTTTAACCTTTTTCCAGATTGATAAATGATAACTTTTCGGTATTTTTTTTCTCTTTAACAAATGTATTCAGTATGAAATCCATCAGTGCAAAAAGTCCCTGGAAATGTTTCCTGTTGGGAGAACAGTAAAAAATTTTTTTAAAACTAACTCATTTGTGATAAAAGGCTCCATGTCAGGAAGTTATTTCTGAGGTTATATTTCCTGTTCTGCTTCATTTCTCTGTTTCCTTTCTAAGTTATGATTTTAATGTTTAATATCAAAGTGAAACCTTTAGAAAGTGTTTTACTTCGTTCCCTACACAAGAATGACTTCTCGCATTCCTGTGAGCAGAGTCAGCCGGTTTGTACGTATTCACTGCACCATGTCACATTTCCATTACGAGACAGAAAGGATACGGGCTGCTGCCTGGATCACATCTCCACATCTCGCTCTCATACATTTTCCAGAAGGCAGGCAGAGTTTTGCTCTCTCCTTCTCTGTGCCTCCTTAAATGTTTGAGCAGATTGGCTGAACGAGGCTGCAGCATGAGAACCGAATCTCCTCAGAAAAACTCATTCCCCGCCTCTCCATCTCTTATCTGGGGTCACACATGCTTGACCGGGTAAAAAGCCTTCTCTCCTCTCAACAAAGGGGATGTGTATCTGATCGAGTGTTCTCCAGAAACAACATGGGATCCTGTTTGAAACTGCGCCACCTTGCAGATGAGCCAAGGACGCAACGTGACTTTAATGCCGATGATTTCACATGTGACACTTAAGGGTAATTGTGCAAAAACAGGAGGAGCACTCATTTCCTTGTATCCTAAGAAAAGGGCAAAAAACTTGGAGCAGATTAGTTAGAGGAAAACAAGCTTGATTAACCTCATGTAGACTAACGACAATCCAGAAAAAGAGTTGGTTTCATGGTAGATGACTGGCAAATGCCTGAAAATCATAAACCCTCCCTGTTTGCTATCTGTAAATTGAGAACTGTAACATTTCATTAATCATTTTAAGTCCTGCTCTGATTAATTTAATTGTTTTCAGTATCTAGCTTGCTTTATCAAGAGTTTTTGTATTACATAC